TCTTCAATTGCCTTACAAAGGAGTATGGACATTTTCTATAGGCAATTAGGACTCACTGGAAGACTTTAAGTACAGAAGGACCCTGCTTATTTTTTTTTTTCAAATACATTTGTCTCCATTTTCCTGGCACTGCTTTCCCCTGCCCCACCCAACCCCACCTCCCAACCTCAATCCTTCCTCACTTCGGCTTTGTCCATGGGTCCTTTATACATGTTCCTTGATTTGACCCTTCCTTTTCTTTTCCCCATTACCTCCTCCGTCCTCCCTCCTCCCCTCTGATTACTGTCGGTTTCTTTTTTCTTTCAATGTTGCTGGTTATATTTTTACTTGTTTGTTTTGTTGATTAGGTTCCACTTATAAGTGAGATCATATGGTATTTGTCTTTCACCCCCTCACTGGGGTGGCTGTGAGGATGGATCTGAAAGGCTATATCAAGGATCGGGGAACCTGTCTGGAAGCTGTTTCAGGCATCAAGATGAAAGAAGACAGATGAGGCCATAATAGAAGAAACAACTGGGAGAATGGGAAGCACAAAGTTGACAGATGTGAGAAACGGTGAAGACTACAACCAATAGGACTTGATGGCTAAGGTTTTTAGCTTAAAGGACTAGGCCAATATGCTGGTTACCAAGGTAGGTACAGAGGAGGTTTGTGTGGGAGAAAAATGGTTCCATTTTGAAATGAGTCTGAGATACCTATTGGGAGAATTTCAGGCTGGAAACATAATTCTCAATATTTTATTCAATACATGTTAATGAGACTGCCATAGAAAAACTAACATGTTATTTTGACACTAAAGAAATAAAGTAACATCCATCATTGCCATTATTTTAAAAAAGAGAATACTTTTCCATCAAAAAATGAGGAGAACATAATCTCAGAATAAAGGGCAGTTCTTTATAAGTGAATACATTTAGATAATTGAAAAACTCTACATTTGATATTTTTCCCATTTTGCTCTGACATATTGAAAACATTACTATAATTGAGAACCTCAGATTTGAGGAATAAGCAGAAGAGAGGTCAGCAAACAAGATCAAGAGGAATGGTTCCAGAATTAGAAGAAAAACCAGGAGAGAGTGATCATGGAGGCCCAGAGAGGAAGGAGAATTTCAGAAATGAGGACTTGGCCAACAGTGTCTTTTGCCACCCAGAGTTCAAAAAGATCACTGAATTTGGCAATTAGGAGGTCATTGGTGACCTTTGGTAGTGCCCTTTCACTAGGAGTATGGGGCTGGGGCCAAATTGCAGTAAGTTGAGCTGCGAATGGGAAGCTGGGAAAAGTGGCAGCTTAGAGTTTAGACTCTACTTTCAACAAATCTGAGGATAAAAGAAAGAAAAGAGAGAGGGAAGGAGGGAAGAGAGGAGAAACAGATTCAGAGAAAGAGAGCAAGTCAGGCAAGCAAGAAAACACATCTGAGGAGGGAAGGGGTTTGTTCTGTGAGAAAAAAGAGACAGGTATTTTATAATCAGAAAAAAAAAAGAGCTAGTATAAAGAAGGTGAACTTTCCTGAAGAGAAGGGGCATAATGTCTGAAGAAAGGGCCCAAACAAAAAGGGAATATGACACCAAAGGCCCAGGGGAAGAGATTATCGTTTAACAAGAGGGGCACCTTGTTCCCTGAGAAGGGAGGGCTGGAGGGGAAGGAAGTTAGGAAGGCAGGCCAATTTTTGGGGGTGGGGCAGGGCACTGAGGTAATTCATGCTTGAAGTCCTGTGTTTTCTCATGGAAGTGGGCGGAGAAGTTGCTCCACACAGGGAGGGGGTAGGGCAGAAACATGGTTAGGAGCTGAAGAAAGCCTGGAATATGGCCCAGGGAAATGTAACTGCTGGAGCTGGGGACCTGACAAAGGAACATACTCAAGGGTGGCTGAGGGGTACTGGAGCCCTGCTGAGGTTGATTGAATCTGTCTTCCTTAGTGTAGGTCTTGTCTCCTTCTCTAGGCTGTCAGTACCTTATGAAAGGGTCTGCAGCACTTTTTTGTTTCTAGCCCATTCCCTGGCCAGGGAATGCCCAGTAGCATCTGTCCCAGAATAGGCACCCAGCCCTCATGGAAGGATTTGGCAAAGCAATCACTGACAAAACCCAGAAGCATTATAGGGCTGTTAGGGGAAACAGGTAGGATCTAATTGCCCTGACAAGAAGTTCTTCACTTAGACTGTCCCAGTCCTTTCTTGCCACCCTGTAAGCCATCTTACTTCTGTTCTTTGTTAAGTGCAAAGGAGAACAGCCAGGACCCCACTCTGCCCAGCAACATTTGCAGGCCTTAAATCCTTTAGGCTAGGAAAGCCAACAAGAGAGGCCAGTGGCTTCATCTCCCACAAGCTGAATGTGGCTGAGACAGTTCTTGGAAAGAAGCAAGACAGAGCAGTTGTGTAGAGAGAACAAGGGACCTTGGAGACAGGCCTGAAGGCTGCTTGGGTTCCAGGAAAGCGTTCTGGGGAGCTGGTGTGAGGGGAACCTTAGGACTGTTTGCTCAGGGGTATGAAAGGTATGGACATCCTCAATCAGGGAGGACTGGCTGAATGAACACAAGTTCAAGGTGGGAGGTGACATGGGTAAGCCTGGTTGGGCATGAGCCCTTGGCTGAGGAATAATGTTTACTTTTTCTCCCTTTCCCTCTCCCTCCTGCCTATTTTCAGAGACCATGACCACCTAGAGGTCAAAAAGTTCCCAAGTTCCCTGGGTGTGAGAGTAGGTCTGTTTCTTTCTCCCTCATTTATTTGTTTGTCTTCCAGCCCAATCTCTTCAACCTGTCTGCCTCTCTCAGCTTCCCTCTTCATTTGAGTTAGTGATACAGTGCAAGCAAATTCTCATCTTCTGAAGGTAAATTTAGCAAGAACCCTCAGAGTCTAATATAAACTTGGAACCCAGCAGCCATCATTTTCTCCCCTAAGATACTCTTCTACAGGATCCAGGATCTGGTCTGTACTTACACAGTTCAGGGACAGAGAGCTTACCCCATTTCACCACATGAAATAAACTTCTGTTTATTAAGGGCCAGTACAGTGCCAGGTACTTGGGTTAAGTGGTGGCTGGGCTGTTAGAAAATTTTCCTTTGATTGAGCCAAAAATGTGCCTCCGGGTAGTTTCCACTTCTGGGCCCCTTCCCTGTCCTTTGAAGTCACAGAGAACAAGTGTAATCCCATTGCCATCTAATCCTCAGATATTTGAAAATGGCTGCAATTTCCCCAAGAGTTTTCTCCTCTTTTTGGATAAGGATTTATTTATTTTTATTGTTATATGTCATTACTTTTTATTGCCCAAATAATATCAGGTATTGTGGAACTTTCCAGAAAATTTAGAAAAGCATAAAGAAGAAAGTAAATGTCAACCATAATCTTACTCCCAGGACCAACCACTGTGATATTCCTCTTTCTTTTTACCAGTCCTTTTTTCCCTTGCATACTGTATATTCTACACTTTTTTCTTATCAAAACGGGATTCCTTTCTAAGTTATATTATGGAGGCTTCTTTTTGCACTCTTCAATATATTAACTCTACCCCAATCTCCTATCAAGTCAATTTTAATACAAAATTGTATAGCTATTCAATGACTTATTTAACCAGCTTTCTAAAATGAGATGTTTAGGTTGTTTCCAATTTTCCTTTGCTGTAAAGAACACAGTGAGGCTGGAATTTGAGGTGGAAAAGTGAACAGAGAAAAGAGGAGCCCTCAAATCAAATTATTCATCCTATTTTAGAATCTGATTTTTTTCTCTGTAGATAATTATACTTCCTAGAACATGATTGTGAGCATCTGATGAACATTTGGTTGCAAGGACTTACCCTAATTAATCTAACAGTTTCCTATTATTGGACATTTGAGGTTGTTTCTAATTTTTGACCATTACAAACCCAACTGTAATGAACATCCAAGAAGCTATATTAGCACTGATGCTGGACACTGAGGTCAGGAAGAATATTTTTGGGACTTCTAACACATAAGGAGCCTGCCAGTAGTTGTAACTGGAAGCTTTTTGTTAAAAGCCCAGGGGACTGGCTAAAGCCAAGGACTGTGCTCAAGCCTCTGGGCTTGCCTGGGATCAGTTCCCATTTACCCAGCTTCAGCCACAGAGTGTTCAGGCTACAGGGCCTTCTGGGACCACTGGGCTCAGAGATTCCTCTCACATGTGAGGAAGTGAAGCCCTGGGGCCAGGGATGGTCCTTTGGCAGCTTAGCAGTTGGGCAAAACTCTGACTCTCCCAGCACCCTGGCTCCTGGACTGGAAGCTTAGCTAGAAGATTTGTAATCCAACCTGGAATCCCTGAAAATGCTACCTGCATTCCCTTACCTTCCTTACCTAACCACTCATTGCTTAGGCTGGAAAGGGGATTCAGGCACTTTTGCAAACGAACTGACCAGTAAAGGGATGCAGGCTGGGGGCTTTGATAGAAGACTTGAGGTTTCCCCACAGGCAACTAGACCTGCTCCACCCAGAACCTCCTTTTTTCCTAACCCAGTTGTATGATTAATGGCAGTCACCCTATATCAGATCTGCCTGGCAAACATATTTGGAGTTTGAACTGAAATAATGGGCAGGTTCCTCATTCTTAGCCAAGTCAGCTGTCCTTCTTTTTGGGAATGAGCTATGGTAAAGGTTTGCCCAGCCCTCTGTGCCTGACACCTTTCTGTGGTTTCAGGTACTAATGAGCTTCCCACTTTTATCTCCTCTTGCCAATGCCTGGGGAATTCACACAAATGGTGTGTGGTTTTCCCCTTCTGTGTTTTCCTTTCTGACTTGGAAGTTAAGATAACCTCTCATCCCCCACTGATTCTCTGTTTATTGAACTGGAAGAGATTTCACACCCAGGAACCCAGGTCTCCTTTCTTGAGTGCTTTTCTTAAATCTTCACCCCCCAAGTCCTCCACCTCTGTACTTCCCTGAATAATTTGAGTCCGGGCAGGCCTTATAAAGGGTCTCCCAGGAAGGGCTAAGAGTACAGCATATTCTGAGAAATAGGAGCCCTCACAGCCTGCCTGATCTTGACAGCCTAAGGATGAATCCTTCTGCTCCCACTGCTGCAGTTGCCCCTGTCCCAGACCTGGCCACTAAGTGTGGCTCCAGCCCTACCACAGGACTCCCTGGCACTCCCTGGCCTGTTAAGCCCATTGCCTCTTTCTTTCCTTGGACAAGAAGAAGATGGGAGTGAAAAGTAAGTAGAACTTTGTCTTTGGCAACATAAACTCTGGTTTAGTGGGTTTCCTGGGAAAGGAAAGAAAATGAGATGTCTAAGATTTCCCTATTCTCTGTGAAGTTAAAAAAAAAAAAAGGAAGGGCCTAATAACCCTCAGAAACTGTCGCTTCTACATCTTGGGCTGGGATATCTCAACTGACTTTTTACCTAATCACCCTGGGTGACAGGAGGAAATTTTGGGACATGGGCATTGCCAAAGCTGAAATTTGAGCAGCCAGGCCCTCATGGGCAAATTTGCTTAATCCACTGAGAGGTACTCAAGAGAATTCCATGAAACCTGGGTTGAACATGACCTAGGGTGGGGGTGTGGGAAGAGGGTCAAAGTTCCAAGAGGCCTTTGACTAGAGGACTATCTCTTTCCTGACCATACTATAAGATTTCCTTTTGCTTTCCCCCAACTTATGGAAATCTAGTGGGGAAGCAGTTGGCCCAGGAATATTTATGGCCCCTTTCTCCAGCCCAGGAAGATTGTAAAACTCTGACCTCTGCTTCTTGGAGCAGGAGGTAGAGGGCAAGATATTCTTCACCCAACCTTCATTCATTCCTCCAAACATTAAAGGAGTTCAACAGATATTTACTGAAATGCTTGCTGTGTACCAGGCATTGTGTTAGGTATGATCAAACATAAATATACCCTTAAGAAGCTCAAAGGCAAGGAAACAATTGCAAAACTGTGATAAGAGCAATGATAACATTGTTGAAGCAGAGAGGAGAGGCATCTGTCCTTAGGAAAGCCTTTAGGGTCCTTAGGAAAGGCTTCCTTAAGTATGTGGCATCCAAGCCAAGTGTTTTTGGAGGCCTTTTTTGTTATCTCAGGGAGTCCACATTCCAGTCTCCTTCCTCTGCTGATGGATCTCTCCTCTGTGTCCTAGAAGGGTTTGTCCTTGGAGGCCCTGGCTGTGCTCTTCAAGTAACCCCCCCAAGGCAGGTGAGGAAACTTGTGGATTTGGTGAGTTTGAGCCCCTGTTACACATATATTCACATGCAGCCATGTGTGTTCACACTGGCCAGGTCCCTTCCCAGAAAACCCCTGACTTCAGTCCAGGGCTGCAGTTTTAGGAAACCATCTTCACACCCTTGCTCACATTTGATTCTTCCTCTCAGGAGGCAGGCAAACCTTAGGTTTCTGTGCAATTTAAAGATAAAGCGGCTGAGGCCCAGAGTAGGGAAGGGTTTGAGCAGACCCTAAAACTAGGCTATGGTAGAGCTGCTGTTAGAATCCTGGTCTCGTGACACCTAGCCTTGGTGTTCTTCCCCCACACCACCCCCAAATCTTTCCTGCTCCAGTAGAACTCTGTCCCCTAGACAGTCTCCAAACTGGTGTTAGAACAGGGGCAGGACAGTTAACAACCCCAGGACTCTGTCCATTTGTTTTTCAACCAGAACCAGGACAGACCCCTTTTTGGGAGCAAGTCGGGGCAAAGGCTAGACCTCAGAGATGTCTAAGGTCTCTTTGTAGGTCATCTTACCTACAGGTTTCTGACTGCTAATACAGAGAAGGCAGTTGTTTGGCCATGTACTTTGAGCCACAAACTAACTTTTGCTTTGAACAGGCCACTGGTGGGGCAACAAATGCCGAGGTCACCAAAGCTCACTCCAAGTTTCATCATCCTGTGAGGTAAGCTTCTGGCACAAAACTCAGAACTTGACATAGGTTCATTAGCTCTTTATATCTTCATAACAGGCTTGTGAAGCAGGAGGAGGGAGGCACTGTTACGATCACTATTTCATAGATCAGAAACCTGAGGCCCAGACAGATTGGGGACTTTGCCGAGGTTGCCTTCCCTGGAGGCATTGTCAATGACCCCCTAAGAATTAGCCCTTATGGACAAGTTAGTGAAAGAAGACTTAGTAGGAGGTGGAGGACACAGGAGAAATCTAGAGAATTATTGGCTAGAGGCCTTCTGAGATGGAGGTGGGATCAGTGTCAGAATTGATAGATGCTGAGGTTGGAGTTCCCTACAGTTATAAGCCCACCATAAGTTACCTTCCTGCCTGGGTCCTTTTGTAACAATTGAGAAAATTCTGTTACAAAGTTCTCTTTCTTTCTTTCTCATACCATTTTTGCAGGTAGGGCAAAGAGTTTAGGGGCTTGCTTCTTTTGTGGTCCTACTGGTCCTTCTGCACATATGAGACCTGTCTAAGTTAGGGGCCATGTTTCTTCTCTGTCCACAGGCTCTTCTGGCCCAAATCCTGCTTCTTTGACTACCTATACAGTTATGGGGAAATATTACTGCAGAACTTTTCTGTCCAGGCAACCATCAATCTGTATGAAGACTCAGGCAGTGAAGAGGAGGAGGAGGAGAAGGAAAAATATGAGGAGGAGTAGGAAGAAAAGTAGGGTAAAAAGAAGGAAGATGAAAAGAGGCCAGAAGGGTATATGAGGATACCAGGGTCAGCACTACACAGAATCACAACTCATCCTCCGTCCCCGTTTCTGACCTGTCCAAACTAAGACAGAGTCTGATTAGGGTTCCATATGCTGGCAAGTCTCCACAGCATCGATTAGCCAGGAATCTGTAGGCACAGCTATCTGGATGGAAAGGTTAGTCCTTGAGTCACCAGCTTACCCTGGCTACATCCAACTGAACTGTGAGCCCAGGCCTTTGGCATCTCATTGCTTGTGTTGCTGTTGTGTTGACAGTAGGAGGGTCCTAAGAGCTCTAGGGGGAAGAAGGCCTGCTTTCTGAAGCCCCCAGGAAGCATATCAGAACAAAGCATGCCCATGTAGAGGGGAACAGTCACTCTTCGGAGCTCTTTGACTCCTCAGCCTTCCAGGTGGCCATATAGTCTTATTTTGCCATGGGAAAACTGACTTCTGGCTTCACCTTCAGGGTTACCAACACCAGATCTGGGCAAAGTTGAGATACTTTTCTGATGAGCTGTGCAGCAAGAGGAAGGGGAATCTAGAAAATCAGTTTGCTTTGAGGACATCCCTTCATTCTGGCTGCCATCTGCTGGGGTCTCTGTTGGCATGAGATGAATCAAGAGAAAGATAAACTAGATGATGTTTCTCTTTTTCCTGGAACTGTGCTGATTTCTTAACTGAACTCTGTCCATGTTGTGAAGCCCTGTGCACAGGGTCAGAGACCAGCTCAAGGCCAATAAATTGCTCTATCTGAGGTCAGTTTACATATGGGGATGTAGGGCCAGATGCCCAGCACAGGGCCAGTCCTCTATGTCAACTTGTGAAATAAGGCTAGATTAAACTTCAAAGATACCTTGGAAAGGGGACAGAAAGTCCCCGAAAGTGTAGCTTGAAAATTGGTAGTAGGGCTATGGGTTGGGGTCAGGGGTGAGAGGTGCAGTCTTAGTTCAGCCTTGGAGATGAGTGTGCGCATAAGGGGAAGGGAGCTTGGGGAACAACTCAGGCCTATCAATTTTATTTTCACAGCTCAGGCCCTCATGCCTTACCCGTGTCCCAAATACTCAATAGCTAATCTTCATGCCTCGAGCATATTCCTCTGAAATTCATCCTCCACAGTGTCCACCAGATAAGATCATGTTGTGCCCCTGCTTAAAGCCCTACTGTGGCTCTTCATTGCCTCACCAACAGTTGAACTTACCATTTTCGTTTAAATCACAGACCCTCTTGAGAATCTATGGCTTCTCTAATCATATATTCACAAATCAAGCCCTTAGGTTTATATCCCAAGCTGTCCAATTTTTTGGTTGTTGACTGTCTCATTTTTTAAAATTTGTTTTTATGAAAATATAATTGACATGCAATATTATATTATTTTTTGGTGTACAAAATAGTGATTTGACATTTATTTACCTTACAATGTGATTACCCCAATAAGTCTAGTACCATCTGAATTCATACAAAGTTAATGTGGTATTATTGACTATTTTCCTTATGCTATACACTATATGCTGTGACTTATTTTATAACTGGAAGTTTGTACCTCTTATTCCTCTTCACTTGCCTGTCTCTTCAGATTCTTCTCTCAACACTTGAAGCTTATGCTATCTGTCCTTAAATGTGTCGTGCTTTCTAACACCTCTGTAGCTTTAAATCTCTGTATGGAATAGTCTTCCACCTTTACATGTCTGATAATCTCCCATTCATCCAATAAGACTATTTCAGATACCTCTCCTGTGAGCAGCCTCCCAGACCCCTGAATCCAGGTTGGGTGCCCCTATTATATTCAGGGCCTCCCCTACCATAGCTTCTGCCCACTTTTTATGTAATAAGATGGGCCTGTGTTTGATATCTAGACATGACTACATTGCACAGCACACAACCAGTCACAGAGCAGGCACTCAGGAAATGTTGAAGAAAAAAAGATTTTCAGGTCTTCTTAAAGCAGTTCTTGGTAGAACTGCCTCTGTCCCTGCACCACCACCCCAAACTTGCTGGCTTCCCATATCTTTGCTTAGCTACAAACAAGACAAAGTAACACCGTCTGTTTCAAGAACAAAATGCTGGCCATCTTTCTTGACCCCTTTGATCAATTTGTGACAGGTTGCTTTAGTTCTGAGCCCTGCTGGGACTTCCCTGAATTGGACTCAGCCTTGAGCAATCAACCAAATTCACATGCTGATGCCATCTATTGGTCTAAATTTAACCTTGTTCCTTAATACTATGAGGCAGTTGAACTTATACCATTACAATCTCTTCAGTTTATTCTGTTTGTGCTTGTAAGTAAAGTGGAATCTACCATGTGTGAGCTATATGACCTTGAACAAGTTTCTTATCCACTCTGAGACCCAGTCTCATCTGTAAAATGGGGAAAATAATGATACTTCCTCCCAATGTTGGTGTGGGAATTCAATGTAAAGTACTTAGCATAGTCCCTGGCACTAAGTGAAACACTCAATAAGTGGTCATAGTCATAGTAATCATAGTTGTAGTAGGGTTTTTTAAAATTAATTTTATAACAGAAATGAGCTTATAGGCTCAAGTCAGCTAATGACTTGATAAGTTTACTCAATAAATGACTGATTTATCAGTCACTTCCACCTGATCTCTCTGGCACTTGATGGTTTACTAGTCAAAGCATCTTTGCAGTGTTTGTCCCTCATTAAAAAAGAAACAACAAAACAGAGGCCAAATGCAGCTTCTTGGGACAGAGGTTTCAAAACATTTTTTGTGCTTTAGCAGCATCACCCTTCTTTTGCATTGAGTGCAGAAGCCCAATATAGAAACTAAATAGAGCTGGGGATGTCTTGGTGGAAGCCACAATGGGGGGCACAGAATTCCCACCATGGTCTCCTCTCATGTGTACTACGTCTCTCTATCCCCTTCTGCGATGCACTGAACTGATGCCTAGACTGTAGAGAACACTATTTGGAAAACACTGTCATAAGGGCGAAAATGAGATTGATTCAAAATCTAATGAGAATTGGTATTTTAATATATTCAGTGTTCTGTTTAAAATCCTTATTTTAGGTCCTAAGCTCTCAACATTTCATAGCTCAAAAATTACTCCAGCCCTCCTCTGAACATGTCGTTGCTAAGTAATTGGAATTCACTGTTCTGACTAATGGGAGCTCAGTGTGAGTTACTTTGTGCTGGGTGTATCCAGTTCTTTTATTTTTTTCATTTCATAATATATTTATTTTTTTGCATATTCAAGTACAGTTGTCTCCATTTTCCCACCTCCACTTTCCCCCACCACACCTGCACCTACCTCCCACCCTCAATCCTATCCCCTTTGGCTTTGCCCATGGGTCCTTTCATGTTCCTTGATGAACCATCCCTTTCTTTCCTCCTTTACCCACCTCTAGCCTACTCACTGGTCACTGTCAGTCTGTTCTTTACTTCAATGTCTCTGGCTCCATTTTGCTCACTTGTTTGTTTTGTTGATTAGGTTCCAATAACAGGTGAGATCATATCGTATTAGCCTTTCACCACCTGGCTTATTTCACTTAGCATAATGCTCTCGAGACCCATCCATGTTGTCACAAAAGGTGGGAGTTTCTTCCTTCTTTCTTTTTTTAAAAACACAAATTGATTTTATGTTTTTACTTTTTTAATGTCAAGATTCATTATAAAATATTTAAAAAATTAAATCCATTATAAAATCTCAGCAATTAAACCAACATGACATCAGCACAGAAATAATCAAGTAGATCAATGAAATAAAATGAGCATTCTAAAAATAAATATATATATGTCTAAAAATGTAATCTATGATTAAATTGATATTTGAAATCAATGGGTAAAAGAAGGCTTATTCAACAAATAAGGTGCATGGACCACTATTACATGAAATAAAACAAATATAGAGCACTATTTCACACATTATACAAGAAATATTCAGGTGAGTTAAAAATCAATATGTAAAATCTAAGGAGTTTTAGGAGAAAACACAAACTAATATTTTTCTTACCCTGAAGTAAAATATTCAAGCCCAGCTGCTATAAAGTAAAACATTGAAAATATGACTATATTAAACATATAAGACTATATTTTTTATATATATATATATATATAAAGTTAAAAGACAAGTTATAGAATGGGAAAGTATTTGCAACACATCTAAAAAAGTGTTAATATATCTTTATTTTTGGGAAAATATTCTATGAACCTTTAAACAAAAAAATGGATAAAGAATACCAAAAAGTCATTTAAAGCTTTTCAAAAATAATAGAAATAGGCAAGAAATATACAAAAACAGGTTTAGTTTCAACAAATAATAAAGTAATAATTAAAAGAGCACATCACTGTCACAATCAGATTAACAAGTATTAAAAATATTGATAATATCAAGTATTGAGGAGTGTGAAATAAACTGGGTATTCATAGACTCTCTTCATCTTAAAGCAGTCCCTTTAGCACATTTTGCAATGCTGGTTTGGTGGAGATGTATTCCTTTAGCCTTATTTTGTCTGGGAAACTACTTATTTCACCTTTCATTTTCACTGAGAGCGTTGCTGGGTAGAGCAGTCTTGGTTGCAGGCCTTTGCTTTCCATGACTTGAAATATTTCTTGCCACTCCCTTCTGGCATTTATGTGATGCATTACGTTTATTGATTTGCAAATATTGTACAATCCTTGCATCCCTGGATTGAAATCCACTTTATCATGGTATATGATGTTTTTAGTGTATTGTAGGATGCAATTTGCTAGTATTTTGTTGAGGATTTCAGCATCTATGTTTATCAGCGATATTGGCCTGTAGTTTTCTTTCTTTATTGTGTCTTTATCTGGTTTTGGGATTAGGATGATGCTGGTCTCATAAAAAGAGTTTGGGATTCTTCCCTCTTCTTGGATTTTTTGGAATAGTCTGAGAAAAACAGGGGTTAGCTCGTTATTAAATGTTTTTAAAATTCTCCTGTGAAACCATCCGGTGCAGAGCTTTTGTGTGCCAGGAGTTTTTCATTACTGCTTTG